CGTCACTTAAGTTTCAAATGCCTCCTACCGCAATGAGTCTTTCTGAAAGTACCGACACTGACGGAACTGGAATTATTAAAATTGACCCCTGGCTAGAACCTTTTACTCCCGTTCTGAAACGAAGGTTAGGTTATTCCCGCAAAAAGTTCTTAAATTATACGTAATTTATATTAAACTTTCACGATACTTATTTGCTTTAGATACGCTACTTTAAAGAAATGGATTCAAGATATTAACCAACATGAAAAGGGTTTCGACCAGTTTACACGTAGTTATGAACATTACGGTCTCAATGTACAACCAAACGGTGATATAGTTTATCGCGAGTGGGCTCCCAACGCTACGAATGCATGTTTGATTGGCGACTTTAGTATCCTTTTTTTCCCTTATTTCCTTAATGTCTCCATTCAATGCCCGCAATTGAACATTCGTGTAAATATAAAAATCCTTAATGATTTATACATTTAGATTGTTGGGATACCTCTGCGCATCCAATGAAAAAAAATTCATTTGGTGTATGGGAAGTTCGTATTCCTTCTAACAATGGCATTCCTGCTATTCCTCATGGCTCAAAGATAAAAGTATGTTCAATTTTTTGTTATTGATTTTTATTTTTTATTTTTTTGATAATTTAGTCTCATCAAATTCGATTAGATATCCATGATTACTCCAGAAGGTGAAAGAATTGATCGTCTTCCTGCCTGGATCAAGCGAGTAACACAAGATCTATCTGTTAGTACTACGTACGACGCCATCTTTTGGAATCCACCTGAAAAATATTTTTGGAAAAATAAAGCTCCTCAAAAACCAAAATGTTTAAAAGTATATGAAGCTCATGGTATTTAGGTTACTCGATTGTGTCCTTGTTACATATTATTTATGTTCTAATTATCTTTTATATAATTTAAATTATAGTCGGTATATCTACTACCGAAGGACGTGTCGGTACTTATAATGAATTTACTGATAATGTGTTGAAACGTATTAGAAATCTGGGTTACAATGCTATTCAATTGATGGCAATTATGGAGCATGCTTATTACGCTTCTTTTGGTTATCAAGTAACTAGTTTCTTTGCTATTTCTAGTCGTTATGGTAAGATCCTTAATACTTATAATTGCCGTTGGTCACTGCTTACAGTACCCTGGGTCTTATTTAAGATTCCTATTTTTAAATTTGATCACTATATTTGGGGATGTACCATTATTAAAAAACCGGTAAATCAATATAACTGTCAAGCCGGTAGGAGTAGTCTTAGTCATAGGGTATTATTTTGGGTGATATTATAAGCAGTGGTCATCGGTATTATGGTGCGTCCAACCCGAGGCAATTCAATATGTTATTTAATTTGCTTTGTATCCAGGAACTCCTGAAGAATTAATGCGACTCATCGATACTGCTCATGGCATGGGCTTATATGTACTGCTAGATGTTGTACATTCACATGCATGTAAGAATGTGTTGGATGGTTTGAATATGTTTGATGGTTCTGATCATTGCTACTTTCACGAAGGAGGAAAAGGGCGTCATGATCTCTGGGATAGGTGATTATTATAAATCATTCAACTCTACCATTTCCTCTACCATTTCCTCTACATCTACTTTTACTATATATAGTCGCCTATTCAATTATGGTCACTGGGAAGTCCTTCGTTTCTTACTATCAAACCTTCGGTTCTTTATGGAAGAATACAAGTTTGATGGTTTCAGATTTGATGGTGTCACCAGCATGATGTACATTCACCATGGTATTGGTACAGGTTTCTCTGGTGGTTATCATGAATACTTTGGTGATTCTGTGGATGAAGAAAGTGTTGTATACTTGATGCTGGTATGTGCAATCCCGTCTTATACTTTCTCAATACGTTCATAATTGAAATTATTCTTTTATTATCTATGTTCTTTAAGGCAAATGAAATGCTTCACTCATTATATCCAAATATAATTACCATTGCTGAAGGTAATTATTGTTTATATTACTTTATAATTTATTTATCTACCATTCTCATTCTGCATTAACCAATCCAATATATATTTTCGTTCGCCAGATGTTTCCGGAATGCCTGGTCTATGTCGTCCCGTTTCCGAAGGTGGTGTTGGTTTTGATTACCGTCTTGCTATGGCTATCCCTGATATGTGGATCAAGTTATTGAAAGAAGTGCGCGATGATGATTGGAACATTGGAAACATCTGTTGGACTCTGATTAATCGTAGACATATGGTATCCCTTCATTTATGTATTTATACTTGTTCCAATTGTATATTCATTAATTAAAAATAATATTTAGGAAAAAACTATTGCCTATGCAGAATCTCATGATCAAGCTCTTGTCGGTGATAAAACTATTGCTTTCTGGCTCATGGATAAGGAAATGTATACTAACATGTCAGATTTGACACCACTTACTCCAATCGTTGATCGTGGATTGGCTCTTCATAAAATGATTCGGTGAATATCTCGTTTTGATTTTTATCTTATAAAGAATTATCGTTCATAAACAATTGTTATGTAGTTTGTTGACGCATGGCCTCGGCGGTGAAGGCTACCTCAATTTTGAAGGTAATGAATTTGGGCATCCTGAATGGCTAGATTTTCCGCGAGCTGGAAATAACAGCTCATATCATTACGCAAGGCGGCAATGGAATGTCGTTGATGACGATTTACTAAGATACAAATATTTAAACGAATTTGACAAAACACTACAACACACTGAAGATATTTTCGGTTGGTTATCATCTCCCCAGGTAATCTATTTTTAGTGTTAGATTTATTCATTTCTATTCATTTTTATCCTCAAATTTACATTGCAACTTTTTAAATAACAAGGCATATATTTCCCTAAAACATGAAGATGATAAGTTAATTGTATTTGAACGAGGAAATTTACTTTGGATTTTCAATTTTCATCCAACAAATTCATTCACTGATTATAAAATTGGCACTGAATGGGCAGGTGACTATAAGATAGTTATTAACACTGACAATGAAAGATTTGGAGGACATAATAGAATAGATGAAAACCAGAAATATATATCACAGCCCCAACCATGGAATGAAAGAAAGAATTATATTCAAGTGAGTAATTTTAATGCCTTGGATCCATATTTATGTATTATATAATAATGGTTTATATAATTATATAATAATGGCTTTATATAATAATGATTTTATTCTACTAATAGGTTTACATCCCGTGTCGAGTTGCACTCGTTTTATCTCATAATTAAATGTTTTGTTTAAGTTTTGTTTGCACATCCTAACATAATCCAATTTGGTCAAAATGAGCGTAATAACATGTGAAAAAAAAAATGTAAACATTTAAATAAACACATGAAGTAATAAAGTTCTATGCATAAATTAATTTAAAAAAAAAACGTTTAAATCGTGTTTTATATGTTTTTAATTGCTTTAAATTTTTGATAGTTTGATGCTGAAACTAAAAATTGGTTTATATTGATATGTATTTAGTTAATTTATTTGTTACAGATTATATATTAGCAATTTCTTTTTAGTACCTTATATACGGTGCATACAAGCTAAAGACAGCCACTAATTTTAAATGACTACCACTTTTTTTTAAGCAAATTATTTGCCAAAAACT